TATTTACTGAATTGTCATTAGTACGTAGGTGATATTTATAAGGAAAAGCGGCATCTGAATTTGTTATGCACTTATACTGTGTATTGGGGGAAAAAACACTGCAAAATCTTATGACATAATAATATGACATAAATTATGTCCTTGAGGATAAATATCTTATAGAACTTGTCTTCATCTTTGAGATGCATGATCAATGCAAATTCTTCGAAAATCCTTGCATCCAAAATCAAAGAACAATTAATTTTTTTCTGTACTACGTGTATATGTTGACTTGTTTTCTAGTTTGATTGGTTTAGATATTAAAGACAAGAAACAAAAACAATAAGCATTAGATTTCAAATAGATGACGGATGATGAGTTATAGAATGTAACAAACGGGGCATATAATAGTAAAGCACAGAAATTATGCCCCTGTTTAATAGGATTAAAATATGTTTTTTAGTAGATTTTGACAGAAGTTAATAAAATGTGTGATTGAAAAGTTGTAGGTCCTGTGAAATGTGTGGTTAAAATAAATTTTTGACTTTAATTTAAATTAAAATGAATTTCAATTTCTACCAAACGGAACTATATACTTGAAAATGAAATGTTTTTAACCATATACTTGGAGAAGCTTAATTGAGTGTTCTTATGCCTAAGACAACTCGTGACATTGTTGCACTATCCTCCTCTTTATAAATTATTTATAAATTTGTCAAACGAAGGCTAAATTTTTAACTTAAGTAATCTAAGCACTTTATAAAAGATATGTAAATCAATCAAATACATCTTGAACTTTCTGTATTAATCAAAATTGAAACAACATATGTTGATTATCCAAAAATTAATGCAATAATATCTGAAAAAAAAAAAGACTATCAATATTTTTTTAGAATGATATTAAATTTTAACATAAAATTAAAATAATATTAAACACTATCCACTATTTTAAAATAGGGTAATTAGCATAAAACCCTTTTACCTTTCAAGGTTTTTGTGGAAAACATTCCTATCTTTCGTTTTTTGACAAATTCACTCTCACGTTTATCTTTTATTGTGGAAAAACGTTCTTTGGTCCACTCACTGTTAAGTGCTTTGTTAAAACAAATAAAATTGGATTATTCTTTTCAAAAAGTAAG